TCATAGGTGCGCGCGAATCCCGAGACTTACGGTCTCCGTCCCCGATTATGGCTCCTGGTCTAACTAGAGAAATCAAACAGACAGTCAGCCGGATAGGTAGATGGAAAAACCAACAAACAGTTCTAACACGTTACTTTGTAACAAAGTAATAATCCTCAATCCGGTCCATCAATTTACTAAGACTAGTTCTCCCTGTCCCCAGGGGAACACTAGCCAGCTGCAGACAAATGTCTCTACGACACTCACGAAGCACTCTCCTTTCCCTTCTACACCTCATTTTATGGTATTTTTCTTGAGTATAACTACTTAAGTCAGTACATAACAACTGTAACGTTCTCACTTTCTCTTCGTAGAACCAAACCCGAAACCTCCAAAACCCAAACCAGGTACGTTTTTGTATAATATGCAACATTGAAATTACTCGATAATAACTTGTTAGTACGTTAGGATATTTTTTCTAAGGACCTTTGAACCCAGAGTTCTGATTTTTTCTCCATAGCCGGTGGACCCTTCACCATATACTTTTGCTCCTATTTCACAGCTCAGCCAATGCTCATGGGACTTTACCCGTTTGATCCAATCAGTAAGGGCCGAGATAGAAGCCCTAATAAGGCGCCTAAAGCTGTGTTCAATAACGTGCGCTTGACGCGAGGGCCGGATGGTCGACCAAACGCTGCGGTCTATCTACTTGGCAGTCCAAACAGCTACGTTGAAATTCCGAATAACGGCAAGTTACGCACATCAAACGCGATCTCCATGTTTGCTTGGATCAAGCCCAAAGGAGGAAATCCTGGTCCCATTATTAACTACAACAGAGGACCTGCCTGGGAGACTCATCTGTGGGTCACAGCCCCCAAAACGCTGTTTGTTCGTTACGTGAAGGTTGGCGGTATCGTTACTTCTTCATTGTCCAAAGCAAAGCTGAGACAAAATGTTTGGAACTTTGTCGGCTCAACGTATGATGGAACTTATGCCACGCTGTGGGTGAATGCCAAAAAGGTGGCGTCGCGCAAAATCGGAAGTATTAAATTGTCGACAAGTGGACCGATTAGGATCGGAGCTAAGGTCGGCGATCCTCGTTATTTTAAAGGAGCTGTCGCGTGTGTGCAACTTTATCGCGTGGCTTTACAGAAGAAGCAAGTGATAAGGGCAATGAAAAGATGTCTCAGACGTGAGTATTTCTTTAAATAACTGAAATGAAGTCAAGTTTAGAAATAAAGTAGACTGTTAGTAGGAATGAACTTCCTTGTTCGCAATTCCAAAAACCGGAGTTGGTCGGCACCCTCCCGATTGCTGCATTTGATTTAAAGAGACTTTCCTTGCATACGGCTGGCGCGCCTCAAATTTAAATTGACCAATTACGTACTGTCCTGACGTCAATATATAATAACAGGAAAGGCATTACATTCACGGTCAGGCGACGGCATTGAATATCAGTTCACGAAAAAGTGAAAACGCGGCATGAAACGTTTTGCGTCTCCAAGCTTTTAAAATGGGTCACCCGTGTACGGCGTTTCGTTCGTAGTTGAGTGTCGTCAGGTTGGATAATAGCTGTGTTATTTTCAACAAAATATGTTATTCCTCGTCAAATTAAACTCAGAAAAGAGGCCAAAGCAACTTGTCTTTCTTTCTTTCAGATGCGAAGACCATTCCTTTCGTTTCGGTAGGACAGCTTGGTTTTGATTGCCGTTCGTACGGTGGACGCATTCGCCTTATGCAAAGCCTTTAACGTAACACGTTTTAAATTGCTGATCAATTTTTATTCTCTATTCAGGCCGTCCAGCTGTTACTCCTCGTCCCACTCTCCGGCCGCCTCCACCAACTCAGGCTCCTGCATGTAAGTAGAAAACGAGGTGTCCCTTCCTTTCTTGCTCAAGAAGAAGCAGTAACCCGTAGGGTTGACTGTCTGCGTTAAGCCCACAAAGTAATGTTTGTCATCGATCACCTAGCCATTGAACTTGTATTGCGATAAGATAGGTTAACTGACATGATGCTACAAGATGAAAAATGTAAAACAAACGAGGTCAACCGATTGGATGACTATAATCTATGCGAAAATTTTAATACTGAGTGAGCAGCCTGGATAGGTGGACGTGATTCTGCTGTTTCAGAATTGATTAATCCAGTTAACGTATACCGTCACGTGGTTGTAATTTTAGTTAAAAACAATTATAGAACACTGAGGCACATGTGTTGCCCGGCTAGCTCAGTCGGTAGAGCATGAGACTCTTAATCTCAGGGTCGTGGGTTCGAGCCCCACGTTGGGCGCACAAGTTTTTACTTGAATTGAATGAGAAATTTTGTCGTTCTCCTTTTGATTATGTAGAGATCAGCGAGAAATAACTCAGTTTTTTATCACTTCATTCTTATCTAGTTTTATTTCGTTATTTTATCAAGTGCCTCCTACACCCGTGGTTCTGTATCCATTAAACAAGCGATATAGAGGAATCGAAAACCTGGGAAGGAATCCCCCCGCCATTCTCAACAGAGTACGACTTGTGCCTGGGCCCGACAAACGACCCGGAAGTGCATACGAATTGAAAGGAAAACCCGACAGCTACATTAAGATCCGGAACAGAGGTCGGCTGGACACTAGTAAAGCCATGACAGTCCTTATATGGGCATTACCAAAAAACCGCATGGGACCCATCGTTCAGTTTGCAGATAAGGGCGTGGCCGTGCGGTTATGGATGATGCGACGTAACATGGTGTTTGCCGAGTTTGTTACGAGACAATCACGCCGGAAACTACCATATTTGGCCAGCGTCGACGGAGTGTTACCATGGAAATGGAACCACTTTGGAATGTCCTACGACAAGGCTAGTGGTAAAGCTACTCTGTTCGTTAACAGTAAACCTGTCGTGCGCAAAAAGATTGGTTATTTTGATCTCTCCACCAATCATGATGTGTACTTGGGGGCGAGGCCCGGTGACAAACAATACTTCCGTGGTCGAGTTTCTTGTTTACAGTTTTTCGACAAAGCCCTCAGCAGCCATCAGGTCAAGAAAATGGAAAAGAAATGTTTCCGAGCTCCAGGTGGGTTTTTAAGCAAAATCCTCGTCAAACCTTATTGCTTTACGAGTGAAATAGCAAAGAAAATAAGACCTATGCAAATACATTAATTATGAACCTGTGCCCGGCTAGCTCAGTCGGTAGAACATGAGACTCTTAATCTCAGGGTCGTGGGTTCGAGCCCCACGTTGGGCGAAAATTTTTTTTTTAATTGTTGTTTTTTTCTTTTTTCTTAACTTCTCCGGTATTTTTCTGGTATACTGTAAGTAAGACTCATGGTAGAGGAACACAAAGCTTATTGTTAATTGTGTGAACTCAAATGTAAATGAAATTATCCACAGGTGGTCAACCGTCCATTCAACCAACAGTAAAGCCTCCATACAGGCCAAGCACAAAGCGTAAGTAACTATCCCTGACTTCGATTCCTAAACTCTTTGAAAATTAGAAACTGACATTGCATCTCAGAGAAATGTGTGCTTTTCATGGAGTGTCAACTTAACAGTTCACCTCAAAATTACTTTATATGTTAGTCGTTGCTGCAAAGGCATACCAGTAATGTTTGTTTGACCAACAGCTTGTAACAAGGTGGTAGCAGTGTATCCGCTTAGTGCCCGCGATGGAGGACGGGATATCACCCAGAATGCTAACCGACCCGCAAGATTACGCGGCGTTTATCCCGCTCCAGGTCCCGACGGTCAACCAAGGACTGCATATCGCTTCACCGGCAAGCATAACAGTTTCATTGAGATCCCTAACAGAGGTCCTTTGGATACTAAATACTCCATCACATTATTGGCCTGGATTTTCCCACAAGGAAAGCCTGGACCCATTGCAAACTACCACCCTAACGGTTGGGGAGTGCATTTCTGGCTAGAGACGCCAAAAACGCTGATGGTGCGTTTCACCCGACGTGGTAAACGCGGCGGGAGAAGACGACGCTACACGATGGCTCTGCGAAGCGAGCGGATAAGACTGAATCGTTGGCAGTTCGTGAGTTGCAGCTACGACAGAAAAACAGGGATGGCAAGATTGTGGATTAATAATTATCAAGTTGCGCGGAAGAACATTGGAAGAATCCGATTGGCTACCAACTATCCCATCAGAATGGGAGAAAAGATTGGAGACAGACGCCGATACTACGGCAGAATCTCCTGTTTCCAAGTGTTTAACTACGCCTTAACTCGAAGAGAAATACAAGGGAGACAAAGAACGTGCTTTAAACAGCGTAAGTGATATATGAGGACGTCTGGATTACGGCATTTAGCGCATAAACACAAATATACTTATCTCTGTGACTAACACCATGCGAAGTAAAATTGTGGCAGAAACATTAATTCAGCAGTAAATATATGATTTCAGACACTTAATTTTATATTCAATGACCTGAATGTATTTTGTTTTTGCTAATTGTTACCTACTTAAAGAATTATGCCCTAGTCTTAGAAATGTCTTGCCTGACAAGTGAAGTTTCACGCTAAAGATTTCGTTTCAAACTAAAATTCAGCGTGAAGTGTAGCGTAGACTCCACAAGACAGGCCAGTCGTTTTTTTAAACATCATTACATTTTGAAAGGAAATTTTCGTGTTTCTTTATCAATGCTCTCTTCATCCGTAAACCGTGTCAGCAATTCCTAATACCATGCATGATAGACATATTACTATCCACTAATGACTTGCACAATAAAACGATTGAGGATTTAGTACTTGGCGTATCCTTGTAAAAAAAATGTTACCAAAGGAGAATTTATAATCTATTTTAACTTTTTCTTTTAATCCTTAAACATACAGCAAAAGGTCCTCTTCGACCACGCCCACTTCCCCGAAGGCCAGTATGTAAGTATTTTATTGTTATATAGGCTGCTCGTAAGAAAAATAGAACACGGTCTATCACCATACCATATGTGAAGAAAATTTATTTCATTTTCGGCTTGATATCTTTTCTTCTTGGCTTAGTCGTAAGACGGATAGGTGAAGAACATTCATCCTACTCGGCTAGCTTTAAGGATTCATACATAGGGCTCGACCATTTCTCTATTTCTTAAGTCAGCTTTACTTAGTATTTAGTCATTAGTCATATTATTTATTAGATTTTATGTATAGTGTAACGAGGGCTACTAGTTTGTCAGTGCTAACTGTAAAGTGTTTTACCCTCGTTAAATAAAGTTAATCTTCTTCTTCTTTATACTTTAAAAAATTGATTCCAAAAGAATATTTTTAAAAAATGATATCTTATTTATATTATGAAACTTTCAGATCTTCCCCGACCAGCGGCGTTCTTCCCACTTAACAAAGGTGCTAGAGGAAGGGACCTCGGAAACAGGAACCCGCCAGGAAGACTCAGGAATGTTCGTGCAGCTCCAGGCCCACTCGGTCGGCCAGGCGGCTCCATTAAGTTACTGGGGACACGAACCAGTTACATTCATTTTCCTAACAGGCGAGGTGGTGCCCTCGATACTCCCTACTCCATGACGGTGTTGTTATGGGTTTATCCAGAAGGAACCGCAGGTCCTTTATTTAATTACCACCCTAGTGCCCACGGAGTCCACTTCTGGTTAAGCACTCCAAGAACGTTATACGCCAGATTTATGCGCCGGAAGGGAAGAAAATACACTACGCCTGTAAAGAGTAGAGCCATACAGCTTAGAAAATGGCAGTTTATCGGAGCAAGTTACGACAGGAATACTGGTACAGCGGCACTGTGGAGGAATGGCAAAAAGATTGCTAGAAAGTTCATTGGTCGAATTCGTCTCGCCACCAATTATCCCGTGCGCTTAGGAGCGAGGTTTGGGGATAGGCGCTACTTTAAGGGCCGTGTGACCTGTCTCCAGGTGTATTCCAGGGCGTTGACGAAAGCGCAAGTGCGACGTGCTGCTAAGAAATGTTTCAAAGCAGGTAAGCTGTGATGCGTCAATGACAAGTATTGCTTTGTTTATTGTTACTGCTATTGAAATATTTGATTCCGTTCTTGGATTTCAGTTTCTTAAAGGGGGGAGAGATCGTGTGTTTTATGTTTGTTTGGCTGTGTGCAACACAGCGACTTTACAAAAGTAAAAAGTTGGATAAAACCTAAGTCCATGTAAAGAGTGTTGGTTCTTCAACATTGATTGATTCCTTGCAAAACGAACCCTGAACTAACATGGCATTGTACGGCTTTCTGATTATTACCCATACGTTAGTACTGATTAACAATTTTGCAAAACACAACTCTTGCTGATTTGTTTCCGTTTTGCTTCCCAGCACCTCGACCCGTTCGTCCGCGGCCAACTTTCAGACCAACCCGGCCAACTGCTCCTCGGCGTAAGTAATTTTTGGACAAAATATTTTTTGACAAAACGTAACTACCCCGAGATGCTTACATTACATTTTGACAAAACTATCCTAAGAGGTGTATATCAAAATTAATTTATGCCCCTTATACTAAGTGTAATGCGCTCGACATGGTAAATTAATTTGTGTTCCTTAATAATCTCTTGTAAATCGCTTTTCTCCATATTGACAGCATCCTACAATCCTGTCGCTGTCTACCCGCTAAACGTCCTCACTAAAGGCAGAGATATGAGTGCTCGTAAAAACCCTCCGGCCACCCTCGGCAGCGTTAGACCAGCTCGGGGACCCAACGGGAAACCAGGATCCTCCTATCAATTCTTCGGCCGCCCAAACAGCTATATACAACTCCCGAACAACGGTGCATTGGACACAGTGAAATCCATTACAATATCTCTGTGGGTGTACCCCCAGAAGCCTGGACCACTTGTTAATTATAACCCCAAGGGACAGGGAGTGCAGATCTGGATGGTTAGCCGAACTCAGTTGTTCGTGCGATTTGTCCGACGCCGAGGTCGTCGGCTGACTTCGCCGCTTATTTACAGAATATACCCCCGAAGCTGGAGCTACATCACAGCGACATACAAGCAGAGCACAGGCGTGGCGAGACTCTATGTGAACAATCGACTGGTTAAAAGAAAAGTTATCGGAAAAATCCAATTGGCAACTAACTATCCAGTCCGAATTGGAGCCAAAATCAAGGGCACCAGGTTTTTCAAGGGACGTTTGGCCTGCCTTCAATTCTATAACACCGCTCTGACCGGAAGACAGATTGCCGTGAGAAAGAAGATGTGCTTTAAAACACGCGGTAAGATGGTTTAACAGATGGCTTACAATCTTACATGTCTAAAAGGGAGGTTATGGGGGATTCTTCTATGTTTAGGGTTGAGAGTTATTAGAGGGAAAAATATACACCACCAAACGCGCCTAGCCTTTTTTGGCGTTATGCACTTAATATTCTGATTTTAGAAATTTATTGAAAGTTCATTGTTCTCTTTTATTCAAAAGTCCACTTAAATTAAATCCATGAAGTCAAACATGTATGATGGCCACCCCAAAGCCAGATAAATTTAAGTTAAATGGTTTTGGTAAAAATATAACAAAGAAACCCAGATTTGCGCTCTAAAGAAGCTACAGAAAGGCTAAGCTTTTCTTGATGTTTACTGTTAATTCTCCTTAGTTTTCATTTCATTTTCTTTCCTTTCAGTCCCACTACCAGTAAGTTACAAGCCAAAACCAATCAGACCAGGTCAGTTTTGATTACTTTGAAATGTCCTTACAATTTATCCTCAACCCGTCTGCTGAGAAATGAGAGGAAAAAGAAATTACTGGAGGCGATACAACGTTGCTGCAAAGGAACAAGAAATTCTCGCATCTGACTTTTAAGAAAAGTGCCACAATAAGAAGGAAGAATTGTTTTTTCGAGCTTGGGATTAGAAAGGAAATGCCAACCCAAGGGAAAAAGTCTAACTTTATAACAATATATCATTATTTTTATAAAATTAACTGCCCTCGCTAGTTCCACCCCTAGCACCGGTTATTTGGGTCGTCACGCAACATGACGATTCAAGTAATGGCTGCGAAGGGGACTGCGCCTGCGCCAGTTCGCGTTATTAATTTCATTCATTTGCTTGTTTTCTAAAGTATGCCGAAAGAGACTGGACATAGGTTTCCTAGTAGAGAGCGGCAGAATAAGCTCTGGTAATTTCCAGCGCACTCTTCGTTTCATCAAGAAACTTGTAGTGTCGTTCCCACGTGCAAGGATTGGTCTCGTGTCTTATTCCAAGCGCGCCTCGAAAGTCTTTGGATTTTATAGGTAAGATCGTCTTCTCGCATTAACCTTTTTTGCAGCAACTGGAAATGACGGTCGCAGGTACAATGGCTAATTTCCTCTATGGGACTGAATATTTATTTTGATGAATACAACTACCATGATTCCCTGCAGTCGCGTCTCATAGAGGGAAATGACCATAAAAGTGATGTCGATAAATTTCTGTTTGATTGAGATGCTACACAGTAGTATGGTAGCGTTTTTAGCTCCACAACAGGGAGTTTAAGAAAACGACGACAGTAATGAGAACGCCGCTAAACAAAAAGTTTAATGAGCAGAACAATGACGGTCCATGTGCGTTAGAAAACTTGGTACATTTCTTTGCCATAGAAAACAACAACGTGAAATGACCAAATTTGGCGTTGACTGCAGAACGTGAATCATTTCAAATTTATCGCTATATCCCAGATTCAGTTTCGTGATAGTTTTGACAGTGGTAAACAAAGTAAATGACTTAAGAGTACCGCGAAATTCGTAGGTAAAATATCAAAACATTTTAATCGACGTTTTCCTCGGCGTCGCCGTCGTGATTACTTTAACTCCCTATGACTGGAATAACTACCAGTTACCCATACCCAGCCACACATACAAATAAAACATATTACAATGACAGATCGCCATTCAGTCTTAAATTTCAAACTATTTCTTCTTCCTTTCAGCTTCCGAGGAAGAAGAAGAAGTCTACTGCGAGCCATCGGCGCTACTCCATCGTTTGGAGGCGGGCCTCGAACTGGTGCTGCTCTCAAATACGTGAAACAAACTTTGTTCAGCGGCCGATCACGTAAAAGAAAAGTACTTTTTGTAATAACACACGACAGGTCCTATGATAATGTTGCTATCCCAGCTGCCACTTTGCGCCGCGCGGGAATCGAGATTATTTCTATTGGGGCTGGAAAAGCTCCTAGCACCTCACAGCTTCGTCAAATGGCGGGAAAACGAACTGGAGCCATGTTCACATCTAGCTTCAGAACACTGCTCTCTATTGCAAAGATCGTTGAGCAAAAGGCGTGTAAAGGTGAGATTTTTACCTGTGAACAACAAATTTTAGATTCTTTAGCAGGTCACTGTTTTGCAGTTATCCAGGATAAAAAATATTAGATCCCACAGCGTCTAATGTCGTTAAAGTAACCCATTCTATCTTGCTACTTTTATTCACGGGATTCATTTACCTTAACTGCGATAAATTTGATGGTGCATTAATAACCCCTGCATTTTAATTGCATACTAGTATAAAATATTGCGTGTTCTATCTACCTAGATTAAATTATTTTCTGTCGTTGACTTATTTTAGGTCCCAGGCCTTTCGTAAAGCCACCACCAGGAGGTATGTGACTGACCATTGCATTGCACACATCATGCGGGCTTATCTTTGTAGATGTTGGACCGAGCGAAAATAACTACCAATCATCTTTTCCGACTTTTTTCATGCGATGAGTCTTCTTTGTTGTTGCTGATGGATTTCGTTTCTGTTATTTACAGTTCTACCAAGACCAAAGCCTCATGGGAAAGGTATGTAGATGACTATGATCAGTTTCTATAACACCTTTAAAAAAAGAAAGATTTAGTATCATAGAAATTTTTCTTTCTTTGTTTTCATGGCGCCAAACAACAAACGACGACTACAAGCGGTCAAAGCAACTCTTAGCCTGGAACAAACGTTTACTTTTGTTTTTTTAACTTGTAAAAATACCTCAAAAAATTGACCAAGAGATAAGGGGATTGCATTTGAATGTGTTCGAAGCATAATATTCATCATATTTTGATATTTTTTGTTTACAGTTGTTTCCCGTGCCCTTGATATTGGGTTAATCGTGGACGCATCTGCGAATGTCGCCGGGAAAAGACTTATTCGAATTCGTAACTTTTTGAAACAAATCGTGGCGTCCTTCACAGTGTCTACATCATTCACTCGCTTTGGAATGGTCGAGTTCAGCAATTATCCAAGAAAATTGTTTGATTTCAACCGATTCCCAAATCAAGCTACCTTAATCAATGCGCTTGGTCATGTACCGTACATGGGGGGCCAAGCAATGCTGGGAAAAGCCTTGAAGTATTCCGCAGTGAAATTGTTCTCACGGAGCCCCAGAAAGAAGGTTGCCATAGTGGTAACAGGCAAGTCACTTGACTCGGTTGCAGGCCCCGCGCGTGATTTGAGGCGCGCTGGCGTGAAAGTGGTCTCGGTGGGTATTGGAGTTTATAGCGTCCCACAGCTGCAACAGATGGCTACTAACAAACGAAGTGTGTTTGCGACAAAGTTCAAGACTTTGAACAACATTGTCAGAGCGATCAAACAGAAAGCTTCCAAAGGTATGTTTAGTACTTCTGTACTCCTGCATTAAACTGTAATGAAAATGTAATCAAGACTATACTGAGAACTTTTTAAAAAACCACTGCATCGTAAAACAATTTGATTTTCACAGTTTTTTGTAATCACAGAAAAAGTGAGGAGACGTCTACGTTTTAAAATTTGTGTATACTGGGTTTAATTTTCACACTTTGCTATGTAGCTTGTCAAGTAATCTGATACAAATTGCGGGTATCATTTTTTCAAGATACATTTGAGATACTTTTTAAAGATACAGTACAGCCCCTGTTAAACGGCCACCCTCGGGGAAATGGATAGTGGCCGCTTAATAGAGGTAAAAACAATAGAAAAGCCCTCATTGGGACTTTGATTTCTGGCCGCCAAATACAGGTGGCCGTTAAATAGGTGACCACTTAATAGGGGATCAACTGTATCTCTAAAAAGCAGATAAGAATCCGAGCATGTATTGTCACTTATTAACTGACACTGGTATTTTGTTACATTGTATTCTTTAGCTCTCCGTCCTGTCCCTCGTCCCTTGCCGGTGAGACCTCGACCAGGTGCGTACGAATTATGGGTAATCTGTGCAACAACTATTTCTTGACGTCTTTTATAGATACATGTCAAGATTATCATCAGAGTCTTAAACCAAAGAGTGAAATGCATATCACTCACTAACTCTACTTGTCCTTGCCAACTTAGGAGGAAGACGTCCGTACAGATTCATTGGCACCTACAAAGTTCCACCCAGGAAATATCTCGGTCGGGCAATCCCGATTAAAAACCCTACATACGGACGTATAATATGTGAGCGCATAGCCCGTCGGGGTCGCTACCGAGCCTTTGCAGTCCGCGGGGGTCGTCAGTGCTTTGTTTCTCGCTCCTCCCCACGTAAGTTCATGGTCTACGGCCGAACAAGGTCGAGGAAACCTGGGCGCAGTATCAGGGTCTACATTAGATCCAGAGGTTGGTGTTATAAGTATTGTTTCTCTAGATTTTTCTATCCTTATAAGCGACCTTCACTGCTGGAAACAAGTGACAGGCATCCAGCAAATTCGAGTTTCACGTAATTATTTTGGATCGTGCGATCTTTTTCTATACAAGAAGAGTCCAACTATATGGTGTAATCAGATCAAAAATGGCTTCACACGACAAAAATTATGCTCCGCGCAATATCAAATAGGGACGGTTAATCCCTTAATCCTTTACCATGACTTATATTTATTCAGCAGCTCCCATTAGACCCAAAGCCCGACCCAGAATTCGGCCTCGAATTCGTCCCAGGCTTCCGCTTCATCCCAGGCCCCGGCCAGTAAAACTACCTTTACCAAGGCCAAGAAAACCAGGTTTGTTAAAAATTTCATTTCAGATTTAAAAAATGTCGTATCCTTGATGAAAGAAGGTGGTGACTTTTTTAACGATCATGTATGGATGTTATCAAGACTGTGAGCTCTATGAATCAGCCATCCATCTTGTTTTCAATTTTTTCTAGCATAGTCCAGTAAACGTTTAACAAATTATTTTGAATTCACTTATTTTTAGGTGTACGAATAAGACCCAGGCTTCGACCAAAGCCGCGACCAGGTATAACAGTGTTGGTTTTTTTGGGTTTATTTTACCTTATTACCGGACTCTTGTGTTGACTACTGTAGTGAAAGTGCATACTCTGTTTCTTTAGGAGCAAAATACAGATTCTTTGGACGCTATCGTGCTCCACCCAAAAAGATACTTGGCAGCCCAACAGTGACGTTCAGAAGTCTGAAGTTTGCAAGAAAGAACTGCCAGCGAGTAGCGCGCATGCGCCGTGCCTGGGCCTTCGCTTTGCGATTTGGTCGCCAGTGTTACATCGCTCAAAAAAGTCCGCGCAAGTTTACAAAGTTCGGTTTTCCTCGAACGAAAATGCCTGGAGCACTGAAGGTTTATATCGCTAAAGGTAAATAGGAGACTGGTGTGATGGGCGTCTTAAAGCATAATAAGAACTTCATAGAAACTATTGAATTATTTGTTTTACTTACTGTATGGCGTTATATTAACCCGCACCTAACCCCATTCATTTCATTGGAGTTATGAATTTCCTTGTCCCTGGGAGTTATATCAGCAGTGATTTGAGGTCCGTCACTTGATTTGAAAAAGCATTTCATTTGTGGGGTACAATAACTGGTTTTATTTGTAAATTCTCCGTGGCTTTGTTTTTGTTGCCATTGTTATGTGCAGATATAAGGTGATATCTGTGTTGTTTTCCAGGAGGTCGTTCCATACCAATAATAAGACCCAGGCCTCGACCCAGACCAAGGCCTTTCCCCCGTCCGAGGCCCCGACCGAGACCAGGTAGAGAAACAGTTTCTTGTTAGTTATATCTGCGCTTGTAAAAATTATGCTCTCAAAACAATACAGGTAACCTTTAGAAGTACTTGCGATGGAGTGTAATGGATAATGTTTTGAAAGACAGACCAAAACTCCCCAAGTGCTGGTACAGGCTGCAAACAGTGACATATTTCAGGAAGTTGAGCGAGCAAGAAGCATGAGATTTCAAGAGCTGGCTCTATTATTTGATATGGAAAAACTTCTTACGGTCCAAAGATATTCTGTGTTTTGAATCATACACTCATTTTGCACTTATAATGTTTTCAACTATTCTCTGTTTAAATGCTGTAGTCAATTTACTTAGAGGTAATTAATTTAAATTCATTTTAACATTGTACCTTTTTATAATCTTACTGTATATTATTTTTAGAGTGTTTATTGTAGCAAGGGTATTTTGTAAATAATGTTATCCCAATAATTAATTCATTTGTAATTAATTTTCACGACCCCACAAGCTTTGAGCTTTAAATCTTATCGTGTTTAAATAAAGAATATGTACGTATGTATGTATACTTCATACTGTTCCTTCTCTCACTACACTAAGCGATCCATTTACAATGCGAGCAAAACTAAACAGTAGTTTGTTTATGCTTGTTTGTCTCAGGACGCAAAACGTACAGGTACAGCGGACTCTACCGACCACCACCAAGGAGAATGCTGGGAAGTCCTATTAGGAAATTTAGAAGCCGACTTTTCGCACGCAGACGGTGTGAAAAAATAGCAAGATCAGGCAGATATCGAGCATACGCCTTACAATATGGCCGTTACTGTTATGTTGCTCGGTTAACAAGTAGAAAGTTTACCAGATATGGACGCAGCGTATCCAGGAGACCCAGTGCTCTTAAAGTCTTCATAGGGACCAGTGGTACGTTTTCCAACAAATACTATGTGGGGCTTACTTTGTAACTAGAAGGTTAAGGATTGTCAGAGAGATTTAATAAAATAAGATTTTATCAAAAGAGACGATCGAGCAAAATTGGTGTACAGCTTTACAGACCACTATGGAAGCTAACATTGTTTACAAAATCCATTTGCTCAACTGAGCAATTTTGCAACAAGGCCAACCTTTAAAACTAAGCTGTCACAGATTAAGACCCCATGAGCAGCTTAAAACGAGGAAAATATCACTTTTTACATTCTAAGTGTTATAGTTTATCTCCTGGCTGATTCAATACTACCGCAAACTTGAGCAACGTCTTACACTGACCGTTTTCAGTTAGCAACTAGTAGCTATTTTGCTGGTTCTAATGCTGTACATTAACTTGTGCATCTGTTATCTTTGTATTTAGGAGGCATTCTCAGACCTAGACCTCGAATAAGACCTCGACCTCGAATAAGGCCTCGACCCAGAATTCGACCCAGACCTCGAATCAGACCTCGACCTCGAATAAGACCTCGACCTCGAATCAGACCTCGACCCAGAATTCGACCCAGACCTCGAATCAGACCTCGTCCAAGGCCTCGGATACCAGGTATTTTTTGTCTTCTGCAACCTTGGCAGGTCAAACATGGAAACCTAAACAGATTCGTTTTTTCCTTCTCTTAGGAAGAAGAAGAGTTGTCCGCAAATATCTTGGAAGCTTCCGAGCTCCACCGAGACTGGGACGACCAGTGCGCACCTTCAGACGTCGAACATACGTTGTGCGCTCGTGTTTCCGTTTAGCCCGAGCGCAAAGGGCAAGAGCTTTTGCCATCCGAACAGGACGACGAGGAGTCAAGTGTTACTTGTCGAAAATGACTTCGGTTAAATTTACAAGACTCGGCAAAACTCGATTTGGAGGCCTTAAGGTTTACGTTTTGAGAAGAGGTAATTTACCAACATTTAATGTGTCAGCTAAAACAGTTTCTACGTTAAAACAAATAACGTTTCCATCAAGTTTACACGCCCCTTACTGACTGTTCGACTTCTTTAGCCGGGTACACTCGGACTGAATGAAAATTATTCACAGATTGCAGCGAAAATAAAAAAATTGAACTTTATTTCAATATCAAATGCTCCATTGCACTAAGACAATTGAAGTTGAAATTTTCCACGATTTCTACAACGAAATACGTTTTCGTTTTCGTTGTATAATGGTCTCGGTTATCTTCTTTAAGGTTTTTTAAAGTTTACATCACTCGTCTTGCTAGCATGGCCATATCTACTAAGCCTGTGGAACTGGGTCCCCTATTGTAACCTAGCTCACTAAGCCAAAGTAAGAAATAAAGACTTCTGTTGTAGGCAGGAGCCCGTGACCCGGAGCCTCCATATGTATTACACCCTTGAGTCAACATGGGCTCCTGTTATAGGTAATGAATAAGCTATGAAGTGCGTAGTTAACAGACTATCCCTCAATACCTCCTAATTCAGGCTCACCAAGACCAAGAATAACACCCCGAGTGAGACCACGAATCAGGCCTCGCCCCAGACCTTCACGTCGCGTATGGAACTATCGTCGCCTGGGTACTTATAGAGTTCCACGTGGCCGTTCTTCCCCAGGGCGCAGATACTTAGGTACGGTCAAACCAAGAATAAATCCCACCAAACAGTGCGCTCTCATGGCGCGGAAGAGACGCTACCGCTTCTTTGGTGTACGAAGTAGACGTTACTGTTACGGAGCAAGAACTCGGATACCGCTGACCAGATTTGGCCGAACAACTGGTCTTAGTGGAATGGCTGTTTACAAGATCGGAAGAGGTAAGTCTAAAATACTGGAGTTCCACGTGTAGATTTTTGACGTGACGAGACGTGGTCGTAATTTGTTTCAATTGAATTTTCATGCTTCCCAGGTCCCCTTAGACCAAGACCGAGAGTGGCAGTCTGGCACTACCGCTATGTAGGCCGCTTCAAATCACTCGCCCCCAAGCGCTTGGGCCGGTTTGTTGGGCGGATAACGGGAACTAAGAAAGTGTTTAAATGTGCGCGCACTGCTAGGAAGATGGGTTTCCGCGCGTTTGCTTTGCGTAACCGAGGAGATTGTTACGTGTCGAGATATTCATCAACTTACTCCACTAAAAAGCGTTTGTTTGGACGCTTCAGAGGAAGTTCTGGTACACCACGTGCCATAGATGCTTATGTGATCGGAAAAGGTAAGACAGATATAGTGTGGTTAAGATATTTCTAGTAAAGAGCACGGATAAGTGTCATTCTGGCAAAACTTCGTTTGGTCTTCCACGAGTTTCTAATTTGTTTTTGATAACAAAAAAAAAACTGCGGACACTAAAGAATACTCTAATTAGACATGGCACCGTGACAGCTCGTCCTGCTGCTTAGCAACTCTGGTGACAAAACAAACACGGGTCCTGTCGTGCCTGCTGTCGTCCATTCTCCAAAATGAGATTTTGTTTTTCACTAGTAGAAACTGGCTCCACCGACTGCAACGCGTACAGTCTGTTCAGAAATAGACCGAAGACAATACGTAGCGACCAATATTTTCACAGAACATGTCAGAAAACATAGTCTACAACGCTTTTTCAGAAAGTTGTAAGAACTGTTCAGCCTTGTTATATTTGTTAAGTGTTTTTCAAAGCGTGCCATTCAACTCAATTGTTAGTCAATCAACTTAAAATTATCCCAGTCGTGGCCCAAGGCAAAGTGAAGCGAATATCCCTAATTAATACATTTTGAACGTAGTGGAATCGCTTTAGTTGACTATCACTCTTGAAAATAAAACTGTTATTTGTTTCTTTCCAAGGTCGTTTTAAGCCTCCCCCCAGACCTCGTAAAGGAGGTTCTGTTTGGCATTACCGCTGGCTTGGACGTTTCCGGTCACTAAAAGCACGAGGTCTGGGAAGGAGATTAGGCAGAGTGACAGGGCGAAAGAAAGTGTTCAGCTGTGCTATGCTGGCAAAACGCAATGGTTATAAAGCATTCGCTTTGCGCCGACGCGGTATCTGTTATGGGACTCGTTCATCTAGAGCTTACACATCCAAGCCAGTTATCAAGGGCCGCTTTAGAGCTGGTGCAGGAGGAGGACGATTCATTGATGCTTACATAATAGGGCGAGGTATGTCATGCTAGTATTTTAGCTGATGTAAAAATTTCACAGGAACGAACAGTTCAAAAAACAGTTGTGGAGCGCAGTCAATACCAACTTAGAAATTTGCAGTGTGTAAGAGAGAGAGAGAGAGAGAACGGATAAATGTCAACAAGACGACTTTTTCGTTTCTTGGTTTTCTGTCAAGCTATTTACTGTTAGAATACAGTTTAGGCTGGATATTTGTACACTGAGATGTGTTAGTCTTATTTCAATGCTTCGTTAATTATCAGAACACGTTCACTTGATGTTGTCGTCAATTTATTCCGTACATACGTTTTCTTCTAGGTCATTACAGACGGCCATTAGGAAAAGGCAAGTACTATATTTGAAGGTTCATTTTCAATCAGGTTTTGTATTTGTATCAAAAGATTCCAAAGATTTGTCAATCTTTGGCTTTTTAGGCTTTTGTGCATATAGAAAGAAAACAAACCAAAAACTTCAAATTGCTACAATCCCGGTTGATAAATCGAAAATTTAATTGTTATATGAAGTGTCAACTAAATGGACACTGAATTTTTACCATAGGTGCGGACGTGTGGTATATGTTCAACTGAAACTAAAATCAGTAGTGACACATAACGTATATGAAATAAGTCAACATGTGAACTGCAGGCGACATAGAAACGGGTTAGGAAAAGAGTTCAATTCCCGACGGGATTCGAGCCTACGACCTTTGAAATTTCTGGTGCAAAAGCTCTACATAGCTATGAAACTGCGGAGGCTCAATCACCACTACAAAACCAAGACATCCTTATTTGATCTAATTTAATTTTCTTTCTAAAGGAGTTAGAGGTCGCTCTAGAAAAACAAGGCAACGAAGAAGAAAGATGATAAGAGCAGTTAGAAGAAAGGTCAGAAGAATTAAACGAAAGAGGGCACGGATAGCAAAAACTAGAACACTTGAAAGAAGGATAAAAACACGTGTTAGACGACTAAGAGGTCTGAGGAGGAAGGCTGTGCGAACTGCGCAACGGGTAAGGAGTTTGAGACGATTAAGGAAACTTAGACTACTGCGACTGGCAAGAAAAGCGAAACTTGCTTTGACCAGGAGAATACGGCAGATGAAGAGGAGAATCCGTGCACGGAAATTACGGCTAAGGCGACAGTTACAACGCGTGCGAGCAGCAAGACGTCGGGCGAGAATACGACGAGCAAGAAGAAGAGCTATGCAGTTGTTGAAATTGCGAATGAGAAGGCGTTTGCAAAGACTGCGACTGTTGGCTCAACAGAGGAGGGCGCGTGCACTCAGAATGGCCAGGTTACAACGTTTGAGACGGTATCGAATGTTGGCCAGGTTACAAGCGAGGCAGAGAGCACAGAGGAGACGAATGATGTCGCAAATCAGACGAAGAATGCTTCTTATGCGACGGAAATTAGCTCTGAAGCAAAGAGCTCTTAGAGCTCGATTCCAAAGTAGACGACAGAGGGCTGCGCGGTTACGACTCCTGTCATATAGAATAAGGGTTCGTCAAAGAAGAATGAGCAGTCAGCTGTCACAAATCAGGAGAGGGCTGATAGCCTTATCAAAAAGAATGGTGTATTACAGGCGTTTGAGGCGTTACAAATTCCTGGCAAGACTGCGAGTTTACAGGCAACGGCAGATGAAAAGAGCGAGCATGGTTCGAGTCAGGTGGTTCAGATATCAAAAGCAGTTAGCGGCCATCAGAACCAAACAAAGAATGTTAGCGCTGAGGCAACGACGTGCTCTTCAGAAGTTTCAGGCATTTCAAAGAAACAGAAGATTGATGTTCATGCAACAACAGCAGAAACTCAGAAAATTATTGCAGACGATGAATTCACGTCGAGTTCGAGGTGAGTGAGTTTAATTGAAATTCTTTGATTGAGATTACGCTGCTTATAATGCTTTGTGGGTGGGGATGTGGTGGGGTTGCTTATTGGAATGAGGACCGAGTTGGAATAGAATCGAGCCTTGCTAAACGCGAATCTATCCGCGAGTGCTTTAAGTATTTCCACAAAAAAGACGAAATTCGTCAAAAAAAAAAATTGTGAATCACGTTTGAACCATTCTACGACGGCCACATGGAAATGAACAAGTCATTGTACAGAGACGCTATCCAGTGAACTGTTAACTAAAATTGTGCTTTACATTTCAATGCAGCTGGGAAGAAGCGAGGAGATATTCTAAACAAGGAGCTAAAGAGGAAGAATTCATCCAAACAGATAAAAAGAGGACCTAACACTGGTAAGAAGGTGGTTAAAAAATTTTTGAGAAGTAAATTTCTGTGATCAGTTATTAAACAGACGCACGGTAACATGGAATCTATCTGTTTCATATAATTAAAAAAACAATACAAAATATAAATGACGTCATCTAGATATATACGTTTGTCCTCTGATTGCTCATAAGTAAGAACCAATCAAAATGCGAGAATAATTTGACTTATCGTGTATATTATATAAAACTCGTTTGACCGGTATGACCACGACATCTGATTGGTTCACAGCCAAGCAAATCTTCTTTCGACAGATAAGCCCGACACCACCCTGAAGGTTGGGCGGTCAGTTAATCCCGCTACAATATACACATCTCTTTTTAACACTTATGTAATATTCGATGGTAAAAATCTTTAAACAATACCACGCATGCATAACCAATTATTCTCCCACAAAATCTCTCGTTTACCAAAATGACATGCATCTCATTAAACTAGTTTTGGATTGACAAGTCATTATTTCAGTGCTTATCACTTCATGTAAAACCAAGTGATCTAGTTATCCGAGATGTGCTGCTATTGTGGATTAAATTAAAGTTCTATGTGGCTCGATTTTCGGTTTACCCTTCAAAGCACGTTATTATGGAAGACTATAAATGGAATTTTCCCAACATTTCGTTTTCAGTTCCAAAAGAGTTCCATTCAGCAGATTACTTCTGGTCGTTTGAAGATTCTGAGGGTAATCAATCCGATGATGCTGTTCGGAAGCGTGCAGCGCAGCTTATGGGAGGATCGCTTGTTGTTGCGACAAGTGATCGAGGTCACGTGGCAGACACTGGTAAACCCAGAGGTTGGATCTCCCTTGGAGACTTTAAAGGTGATAAGAGCCAAATATTTTCGTTCGCGCGCGATTGGTCTAAAACGCGACACGTAACTGACTATTACCCGACTAAAACTTGGGGATGTCCGAGTGATATTCCCCAGTTGTCAAAACTGCGTGTGTTGCGAAAAATATTTGAAAGATGAATAAGGAAATCTTGGTGGTGAAAACACGATGAGGTTCTCACCGTCTTGACTGATGTTTTTTCTCAACAGGAAAGTGCTTCAGCGACCCGGATCAGTGTAGAGATCAAGGAATGACAGTAATGGCTTCCCTGAAACTGGATAAGGAATATTTCCATAAGAAATCTAGCACGTACTTCCTATCAAGCGGAGGTCAAACTACCAAGGCTCGAGGATTTGCTTTCCTGCATCTTCTCGGCCGCTACATCGTAATACTCAGCACAAAAGACAAACAATGGACACTGGAAGCTCGAGATCTTCCAGAAGGATGGGCCAACGTAGCCATTACTTGGAAAAAGGCCGGTTTACTGAAGATGTATGTAAATGGAAAGGAAGTGGCCAGTGGAGAAGCTATGAGTGTTTCAAGGCCAAAGGATCAGTACTCGAGCTTTGAAGTTGGGCGGCCGAATAATTCTCACTCACCAAACTTTAGAGTGCCTTTAGAAATAGACAACATTGCTCTCTGGGAAAAAGCTCTCGCAAGCAAGGAAATTAGCGCATTGGCCAAGAAAGGTATTGAAAATTTAAGTGGACTATAGCTTTCCTTTTTTTCTAAATTACCTTTGACAAAAATTGAAAACAAGCAGTGAAAGGAGCTGATTACCGAAAAAAGGCAATGACTAAGCATAATTAAATACGCATTTTATGAATGGTCTGGGATGAAAAATGAAAACTGGATTCCATTCTTAGCCATGTTCGATCAGCTTTAAGGTTACCACTTATGTAACTTAGAAATTGTCTGAAGTCTTTCATAATCGACACTTACTCATATATTCATATTTTACAATAGCTTTATGTTTTTTTCATTTCTTTGCTTCTTTTTATTTTCAAAATATCACTCATCTTTTCTATATCTGTTATACATAAATAGCTTGACTTTGCTAATAAACTCACTCTATCTTCCATTTAGATTTAACGAGAGCGTCCAAACAAGAGGCAATTAAAGAATAAACATCAGCCCAAGAGGAAATACGCAAGACAATTTTTAGACACAAAGGAACGAACATTTTTGTTGGTTAGAACTTTGTAGTTATACCAGTCTGCCTTCACATCAAGTCCAGCCACCATTAAAGGGGAATGGTGTTTCTTTTGGATGTGACTTCATTTGACTGTTGGCCCGGTTTGTTCGAAAGGTGGATAACGCTATCCACCGGATCAGATCAATCACTATCCAGCGGATAGCGTGGTTTGTTTTGTTAACACTTATCCATTGGATAGCGGTTTACCCTGTGAATAGCGTTATCCAGCCTTCGAGCAACTGGGGCCAAGTCTCTACCTTCACTGCTAGTTGTATTTTTTTGTAACCCTGTGTCAAAACCGTGTAGGCGGGTTTGGCGATTTTCGTCCAGTGCAGGAAGGTGTGAAGGGTTGAGATTTTGACACGTTTTCTAATGCGCTCAACTCAAGAATTTGCTTGGTTTAGCATTATCAAAGTTTTGATAAATCACTCGAGAGGCAAGAGGATAATTGTGAGTCTTTTATAGGATATAAGAATATGAAAGTGTGATGACTGTTCTGTTCATAAATATGTGGTTTCCATTATTACCGCCAGCAAACCCTCAGGGCTTAGTAATCGCCGTTAAATGTCTCAATTTTGAGTAAAATTAGGTAGTCTTTTAGTTCTTGAGCTTACAGGGGTCCATAACCAAAATACAACTAGTATTTGTAGTCTTGTGCATCAAAAACTCAATAAAAAAATCATACTTCTAAAACAGACGTATTGTTCAATTTAATATGTAGCACAAAGGAGAAAAGCAATTGATTTGGAAAGTTCCGTTGTTATTAAAAAGTATTCATTGCAATGCATAAATCATGAAAAGACTCTCTTAATTTTGCCAAGTTCCTTTCAGCAACCTCGTTGAATCAGTCAGCTGGTTTGCGATTCTCGTTATCCAATCAGCGATAAAAATAGCTCGAAGACTTAGGACTGAACCTATGACGTCATGCTGCTTAGCAACCTTTGTTGACGAAGACCGCTGGCTCAGTCAATTCCATAGACATGGTGGCATTTTGTCCTTAACTGGTACTTATTCTCCCAAATGTGTTCCCAGCGTAAGACAAATTGAGAGCAAACGGAGAGAGGACTGAGGACTTGATTAGTCTTCCTCTGCTTTGTCCAAACCTTTCGCTCCTTTTTTCCCCTAAAAAACTGAAGATCTGAAACGAGCTACATTTTATAGAGTTATACAGTATGTTTCTTAATCGTTGTCTTATGTGATAAAAGATTAGTGTTCGCCCGCGATCATTATCTCTGATCATTGCCATGCGGTTCATAACACTGTATTTAATCTACGGTGAACTATGAGTGGCAAGCGTGTCGAGTATTTTACGAGTCCATAGCAGTTTCTAGAGAACATGGCCGTTAAATTCTGTTATATCACCTCCCAGTCTTTCTTTTTAACATGTACCTGCACAAAAACACCCAAACACAATGACTTGGAGACAAGCTCAATTTTTACTCATAAATTATTACTACTGCGTGTTCATACCTCCGAGCGAACGTAATTTTCTGAAATTTATCGACGGAAGATTGTTTTCTAAACAACAGTTTATGTTTATGGATTGAGAAATTATTTTCTTTAAATACCAAATTGGTGTTGCGCAGAGGTTATGTTCTTATCGTGTAATCTGCTCCGGTAGCAAGGTTTGTGTTCATAGTTTTTCCCATTGTTTCGCTGTGTTGAAAGCCCAGCAATTGAGGCGTTATTGGCGTGATATTCCGACGCCTTGTTCACTTGAAGAAAGAGCTAATCAATTCCAATGTCTTGCCTTAAAAACAATTTCCAGCTTGAAAGAGACGATCTCGAGCCGTATCGATGGAGACGAAGTTGGTTCTTTATCTTGTGGCTCTTGTGGCTCTTGTGTTTATGTGTGGTAAGTGAACTGATCTCCGATACCTTGTGTTTACGTTATTTGTCCTGCTTGGTTGTCAAAGCGAACTTTAACCTCGGAAGATAAGAAAGTCGAAGATAGTTTTAGAATTAATACGTGGAAGACCAGCGACGATGAAAGAATCGCTAGCTTGAAGTTTTGTATGTTTTGTAGAACATGAGATATTGCTGTACCTAAATGATAAGAGACGAGTCTTACATTCAGTCCCTCGCACCTACAGTTTGTCCTGCTTTCAACCATGCAAACCAAGCATTGAAGCGAAGCTCAAGTTTGAAGATTATTGTAGAGAGACGACAGTAGTAAGAGATTATTGTCAATTTGTTATTCATATATAGGAATCGGCTGCGGCACAGTTCACGAGAAGAAGAGACGTTTGACCTCACTGGACTTAGCCGCAGGTAAATAAAGAGAATCGAAAGAACTTCTGAAAATTGTTATGTAGTGTGTATTAGCTTGAGTGAGAGGTCAGACATGAGATTATCTGACCTGGGTCAAGAGAGAAAATCCTGTGACGCTCATAGCGTGATGCATTATGGGCATGATATTTGACACCTACTTTCATTACTCAACCCCAGAGGTACTCATGAGTATCTTCGTAGTTGCGTTGTGGGAAGCTTCCTCTGTTCGGTGGGTAGAAAGTGGTAGAGATACGTCTAATTATTGCGCAGCACAATTTTGCAAGTGGGTTAACCATAATATGTGGTTACATCAGAGCAAGTTCTACATGGAACGAAATTTCCTGCTACTTGGAACACGTTACGGGTGGTTGTTGAGGACATCTTATAACGACACTTTTAACTAGTCAGTAAAGGAAAGTAGATACAAGAGGATTGCAAGAGGGTAAGCCATACTGTAAAGGTCATAAGTGAATATTGTAAATAACGATTAAAAGAGTGTATGAAGGATTTACTCGTCTGACTAAACAGCGAAGTATTTTTAACGTCAAGTTTCTTTCGATGTTACAGAGAAGAGAGTGACGGTTTGTTCAAAAGGAAAGAGTCCACTTACATGCGTGTCCCCTGGGTCAGCTATCGCTATTACCGGAGTGTTTTGGGGTCGAGAATCTTCAGACATTTGCCCCTCGGAGGACGGGGATCCGGTAACAAATTGTCCCACAGCTCCCGAGGCCGAACACATTGTCAAGGAGATGTGCGAAGGAATGGGAAGTTGCGTTTTGGAAGGAAAGGCCGACAAGTTACAACATGGAAAACACTGTTATGGCGTCCAGAAATATCTCCTCGTAAATTACACATGTGTGCCTCAGAAAAAGGAAGCCATTTTGTGTGACTCGGAGAGATCGATAATCTCCTGTCCATCTGATTGGATACTTAAAGTCAACTCGGCGTTCTGGGGCCGTCAAGCAACGGACGTTTGTCCATCGGTAAGAGGACAGGAAGTCTGCCCCGGGGCATCAGAGACTGTCTCCAAACTGAGAAGCAGATGCAACAATATTCCTTTCTGTCCTGTTAAGGCATTTTACAAGGAGTTACAAAATGGAGGTGAAAACTGCCCTCATGTAAACAAGTATCTTGTTATTAACTACAGCTGTCGGCCCAGTCCCGATATAGGACGGCGCGGCCAGCTCGGGCTTATTCCTCTCTCGGTTTACCGCGGACTCAGAAGCAGATCACGTATTTGGAAACCTAGTGATCTCAAACTGAAAGCTTCACAGATAACAAAGATAAAACAGAAGGATAAACAATGACCTAAGGAAAAATGTGGATTCTAGTTTACTGATGTTTATTAAAACGATTCGTTTCATACGTGGGATAAACTGTTTCCATAAAAGCAAAATTATTTATAAATAGCCTTTCCTGATCACGCTTAAATACAAGCATTATATGTACACGACAAGTTTTAATTTAAAAGACGATTTTAGAAAACCTTTTGTTGCTTGTAAAATACAAAACTGTTTTTGTAAGTATTAAAGTAGGTAAACCATTCATAGTTTCTTTTTGTTGTGGTACGGTGATTTAATTTCTAGTTTGTAACCTAGTAAAGGCAAAAGTTCATTCTCGTCTTGACAATTGATTGATTCTCGTCGGTGCCGGCCGGGCTTGGACACAAGGAAAGAGAGCGGTAAAACAACTTATGATCGCTAATATTATTCCCGTTCTCACACCGCATTATCCGCGTAGAATTTCAGCTGTTTACCAGCGTTCATAGACGCTCTTAAAATGTCTCCGTGAGAGTTGTGTAAACATTCAAGTTCGTACTGGTTTATTTCAGTGGAAGTGAACGTAATTTGAATAAAAACGCAACTTGGCAATCTGTTAGTGTGGGTGCCATGTTTACATCTGCTGTCTTCCCTCAAGAATAAACGACAAGGGAGGGGAAGATATACACAGACTATGTAACAGGGTCCCCATTTCCAAGAAAACATAAAATCAATCTAATTTAACTTTGGCATCTGACCTAACCTCTTGAGGAAAGGGCTCAAAACTTTGAAACACACGTAAGTTACCGAGGAAAAGACTTCTTTTTTCGGGAAAGCTGACACAGAATAATCTCACAGGTAACTCAGAGTAACATCAGTCAATTCCAACATAGCCAGGCGTAGTCAATCGATAAAAACTAATATCGGAAATCAATCGATTCAATCGATATCAATTGCTGATTGCTATCGATTGACAACTTTTTGACTCACAACTTTTTCTTTTTATCGATTTTCATCAATTGCTATCGACAATCGATATCAATCTTCGATTAATATCGATTGTCGGTTTATCGATTGACTACGCCTGGAACACACATGCAAGGCAGGTTGGGAACAAGTTCCAAAACATACTCATTTCACCGACCCCATGAAACTATAGTATTACAAATAGATCAATACTCTGATAAAGCAGCTCCACAACTTGAAAGAGCTGCCTCAGTTTCTCAAGACAAGCCGAGCACAAAACACAGCCTGAGAGAGTATATTGTAATTTCGTTACATCTTCAAGAATATACGAACACGGTTTTAGTGCAATGGCACCTCGGTTTAACCTGCTTAGTCCGAACATTCACTTTGTTCATGATTTCCGACGGATTTTCGCAAGCTAATATCCGAATTAGTTTACTACGATTGCACCGCATCTTAAAATCTGTTAAAGCCGGCATTTTCAGGTTATAGGAATTGAAATACCGGCATCGTGGTGATACAAATTGTTCGTAACAGCCGTCAGCAGAAATATTGTAAGCACAATTCGTGATACACTGTGCTGACCCATTAATCGATAGCCTGTAGATGTTCGATGAGTAGAATTGATGATGCATATGGAAAATCAAACTACTGTCTCCTTAACCTTGTAAGAGAAGCAAGGTTCTGTTTCTTGGACGAGGAAGACTCATTAGATCACCAAGATCGTATATCCTTCACTGTCTCGGATTCATCAGTGACGTCATGCATTTCTTTCATTATTAACATCTGGGCGTAAAGTCATAAGTCGAACAAGAAGAGAGAAAAAGTGGAACGAGAAAGGGCCCTGGAAAAAGGTAACTTGAATTGTTTTGGTTAACTACTTTTGTTTTTGTTTTAGTTGTTACACCTTATTGTGGAAATTAGAATCGTTATCACCTCGCCAAAGTAAATCAAGCAAACCAAAATGTGTTAGCTGTAACCTGCCGTTTTACTGGGCGTGAAGAGTGATCGAAGAAAGATTGTCGAGGCCTTGTTTGCCTGCATTTGTGCTTGGATTCTCTGGGCATATAATGCAGGAAAACCATGTTTTGGTAATTTTTGTTATGTCTGGTCTGTCGGAGAAAAGAAGAAAAACATAAATGTTTAGTCTGAGATTAATCGCGTTTAATTTCTCACCGGTGTGTGTTCTTTAACGCCAAAGTTTAACGAAATCCGTTTCTGTTTGGGACTGAAACCCATTAGGCGTATATGTCATGATTATACTGACTTTCGTTGCGAATTAGTTGTGAAATACCTGGAGAACGTTCTTACCTGATTCAGGTGATAGAAGACAAATTTTTACCTGCTCTTAATTTCCAGCCACCCGTTGTGTAAATTGTGTTCAGGTTTCTTCTTGTGGTGAGTTAAAAACATAACGACCCACACTTTGGCGCCCCTCTTAAGTTGTTACCATTGGAAGTGTTTTTCTCCTGTTCTTAACATAGTGTTCTTGTTCATGTATAAGGGCAGCGATGGCAACAAGCCGTTTTATTTACCGTATATTTGCTGTTTTTGCTGTTCTGGATGTAGTGACGCTCGCGTATGTACAAGGTAGGCAAGCTGTATTTAGGACTCAAATTCCTCAACGCGCCAAAAGTGGCGTGCTACATAGATACAAGCCTTTTTTACTTCATGTCAAACATTGTTGGCTAATTTACCCTCCAACATTCGATGCTAATGTTTGTTTTAGGCAGCCTGCCGTTAACTTGGCCAGAGACCAGAAATCTCGAGCTTCACTGATCTTGGTGATGATGACACTTACATACAGTGCAACCACTGTGATACGGTTAACGCCATTTTGTGACAACTTATGTTGCCATAAAACAAAAGCTCAGTCGATGTTATTTTTCTCCATTAATACCGTCAACGCATTATATAATTATAGCGCCTAAATTTTGGTGGCCCCTTGATTTTTTCAGTTTTTATTAATTTATTTATTGGTTGTCAGATTAACCGGTTTCCACTGTACATACAAAATCAACAATGCTTAAAATCACTGGAAGGTTTTTTTCGCTGTAAACCACTTACAAACTCGCAGTAGTATTTATATGGATGTCGTATCTTAACCGTCTCACTCATTCTCATAAGCTAATCAGATTAGCAACTCATCAGGTGGCGTACATTAAACATCTTCTACAAGATATCTATTGCTAGACAGTGATGCAGTGTGTTGGTGTTATTCTGTGTTATTTAAAATACTGCCCTGGATATGATGTAGTTGATGGAGCAAGGTTACAGTGCAATGGTGTGGAACACGATCTAAAAAACTAGGTCCGCAATGCCCACAAATTGTAAAGGGCGAGCTAGACGCCTGAGTGATACATTAGCCTTGTAGAGACAAAAGCGCATAAAATTATCTATTTCAATTTGGGATTTTAGGTGGAGTTCACAGTCAGGAAGCGGGAGCTGGTTTGAGTCAGATTGATCTAGAAGCCTGTGAGTAGCGAGTTACTCTTAACAACCTTCTGCTTCTCACTCTTTCATTTATTTATTTTCCATTCGTAACGGAATCTTTTATTTTTAGCAAAAGAGATCACCGTATGCACGACACAGAGGAAACCACTGAGCTGCTCCTACCCGGGCTCAAACATCGCGGTGACTGGTGTATTCTGGGGTCGCAAGTCTGGTGCAATTTGTCCTTCAGATGATGGTGATACACAACTCGACTGTTTCACTGCGCCGGAATCAGAAGGCATTGTGAAAGGAAAGTGCGAAGGAAAGGAATCCTGTGAACTTGAAGCTAGACATGCCTTATTGCAAAATCCAGGAACTCAGCATTGTCCAGGAGTAAACAAATACCTGACTGTTAATTACACGTGTGTGCCCGATGCTAAAGAAGTCGTGATCTGCGATTCCGAGAACTCCAGTTTGACCTGCCCAGCCTCCTGGAAGATTGGTGTGAACTCTGTATTCTTTGGACGGCAGTCAACTACCGTTTGTCCAGCGGAAAATGGACAGACCATGTGCACTGGAGCACCAGAGAGTCTTGGGATTGTTAAGAAGTCATGTGACGGGCTCACAAAGTGTGACGTGCATGCGTCTTACGACCAAGTGCAGAATGGCGCGGAAAACTGTCCCGGGGTTCAGAAGTATTTGATTATTAACTACAGCTGCAAACCGCATCCAAATATAGGTAAGATGGTGAAGAAATAGAGAAAAGCATTATAAAGCACCAACTGACATAAGAATAAATCTTGTGAAATTGACCTTTTTCAAGGACTGACTGCTCTCTTTCACTTACATAAAGAACACCGATAATAAGACTTTCCACTAACAGCGAACGGCCTCTACAGTCCCAATCGGTCGCAGTCTTGTTTTGTTCTTTCACATAACAAATCTTAGTAAGTATTTGTGTTGATCATGCACTTACAAAGGGAACAAATATTTCTCATTGTAACTTTCTACCTGAGGTATATTAAATGGAACTTCGAAGAATCTTGTTGGAGTTAAGCTTTATGGAGATAGGGAAGAAAGAATCGGGGAGGGGAGGGAGGGGTGGAGAGTCGGAGGACAGAAAGAAGGAAGAGTACAATGAGGGGCCGTGGCTGACCGGATCCCATTGAGTTGTGAACGTCTATCCTCTTAAAATCTCTTCATTCTGCTGAAAAGATAACTGCGATAACCACGACTGTGGACTTTCTGTTTAGGTTGTGAAGGTACTCTAAGCATTACGTTGTTTTTTTTCCATTCCTTAGGAACCGAGGACGATGCCATTCAGAACGACCAAGAACCAGCCCCCGTGAAGGCTCCTGCTCCCAACAAACCTAACCCAGGCCTTGCACCAAACGTTGTGAGTGATTTAAAGCAGTTGGACGGCGGACAACAGATTGAGAAGGTACCGGCCGAGGAGGGAAACAGTATTGTTGGAGAAAACTTGAACATTGGACGGCTAGGCATGGGAGGCTTGAAGGCCTTGGAGAAAATCAATAACCTTATCAAGGCTTCCGCCGAGACTCAAGATGGCGACGATCCTGGACCAGATAATAGTTTGACGGACGAGCAAGCACAGGCAATTGAGCGAATGATTATTGAAGGAATCCATCACATTAAGAAAAAACCTTCACCTCCGGCTGGTACACAGAGGGCCTCAATTCCACGTCAGAAGAACGATCAGAAACCTTTTCCCAAGTTACCTCAACCAGAGAAACGAAAGGGACTCCCGATTCCGTTCCCGCCAAAACTTGGAGCTCAAAGAAAGGATCCCAGAGCGGTCCCAACACCAGTTCAAGTGGGAGTTCCCAGGCTTCAGAAGGAAGGACCGAACGGGAAAGGGGGAACGTCAAGCAATCAGAATGAGGAAAAGAAAACGGTAAATGAGAGTAAAGGATCTTCATTGAACGGACCAGGCCAAGGTCCTGCCAAGATGAGGCCCATTCCTGTTCTTAAAAGTCAGCCTGCAGATGAAAGAAAGAAATCACAGCCTGGAAAACTTCGTGGTTTAGGTCTGGGNCTGTGCTGACCCATTAATCGATAGCCTGTAGATGTTCGATGAGTAGAATTGATGATGCATATGGAAAATCAAACTACTGTCTCCTTAACCTTGTAAGAGAAGCAAGGTTCTGTTTCTTGGACGAGGAAGACTCATTAGATCACCAAGATCGTATATCCTTCACTGTCTCGGATTCATCAGTGACGTCATGCATTTCTTTCATTATTAACATCTGGGCGTAAAGTCATAAGTCGAACAAGAAGAGAGAAAAAGTGGAACGAGAAAGGGCCCTGGAAAAAGGTAACTTGAATTGTTTTGGTTAACTACTTTTGTTTTTGTTTTAGTTGTTACACCTTATTGTGGAAATTAGAATCGTTATCACCTCGCCAAAGTAAATCAAGCAAACCAAAATGTGTTAGCTGTAACCTGCCGTTTTACTGGGCGTGAAGAGTGATCGAAGAAAGATTGTCGAGGCCTTGTTTGCCTGCATTTGTGCTTGGATTCTCTGGGCATATAATGCAGGAAAACCATGTTTTGGTAATTTTTGTTATGTCTGGTCTGTCGGAGAAAAGAAGAAAAACATAAATGTTTAGTCTGAGATTAATCGCGTTTAATTTCTCACAGGTGTGTGTTCTTAAACGCCAAAGTTTAACGAAATCCGTTTCTGTTTGGGACTGAAACCCATTAGGCGTATATGTCATGATTATACTGACTTTCGTTGCGAATTAGTTGTGAAATACCTGGAGAACGTTCTTACCTGATTCAGGTGATAGAAGACAAATTTTTACCTGCTCTTAATTTCCAGCCACCCGTTGTGTAAATTGTGTTCAGGTTTCTTCTTGTGGTGAGTTAAAAACATAACGACCCACACTTTGGCGCCCCTCTTAAGTTGTTACCATTGGAAGTGTTTTTCTCCTGTTCTTAACATAGTGTTCTTGTTCATGTATAAGGGCAGCGATGGCAACAAGCCGTTTTATTTACCGTATATTTGCTGTTTTTGCTGTTCTGGATGTAGTGACGCTCGCGTATGTACAAGGTAGGCAAGCTGTATTTAGGACTCAAATTCCTCAACGCGCCAAAAGTGGCGTGCTACATAGATACAAGCCTTTTTTACTTCATGTCAAACATTGTTGGCTAATTTACCCTCCAACATTCGATGCTAATGTTTGTTTTAGGCAGCCTGCCGTTAACTTGGCCAGAGACCAGAAATCTCGAGCTTCACTGATCTTGGTGATGATGACACTTACATACAGTGCAACCACTGTGATACGGTTAACGCCATTTTGTGACAACTTATGTTGCCATAAAACAAAAGCTCAGTCGATGTTATTTTTCTCCATTAATACCGTCAACGCATTATATAATTATAGCGCCTAAATTTTGGTGGCCCCTTGATTTTTTCAGTTTTTATTAATTTATTTATTGGTTGTCAGATTAACCGGTTTCCACTGTACATACAAAATCAACAATGCTTAAAATCACTGGAAGGTTTTTTTCGCTGTAAACCACTTACAAACTCGCAGTAGTATTTATATGGATGTCGTATCTTAACCGTCTCACTCATTCTCATAAGCTAATCAGATTAGCAACTCATCAGGTGGCGTACATTAAACATCTTCTACAAGATATCTATTGCTAGACAGTGATGCAGTGTGTTGGTGTTATTCTGTGTTATTTAAAATACTGCCCTGGATATGATGTAGTTGATGGAGCAAGGTTACAGTGCAATGGTGTGGAACACGATCTAAAAAACTAGGTCCGCAATGCCCACAAATTGTAAAGGGCGAGCTAGACGCCTGAGTGATACATTAGCCTTGTAGAGACAAAAGCGCATAAAATTATCTATTTCAATTTGGGATTTTAGGTGGAGTTCACAGTCAGGAAGCGGGAGCTGGTTTGAGTCAGATTGATCTAGAAGCCTGTGAGTAGCGAGTTACTCTTAACAACCTTCTGCTTCTCACTCTTTCATTTATTTATTTTCCATTCGTAACGGAATCTTTTATTTTTAGCAAAAGAGATCACCGTATGCACGACACAGAGGAAACCACTGAGCTGCTCCTACCCGGGCTCAAACATCGCGGTGACTGGTGTATTCTGGGGTCGCAAGTCTGGTGCAATTTGTCCTTCAGATGATGGTGATACACAACTCGACTGTTTCACTGCGCCGGAATCAGAAGGCATTGTGAAAGGAAAGTGCGAAGGAAAGGAATCCTGTGAACTTGAAGCTAGACATGCCTTATTGCAAAATCCAGGAACTCAGCATTGTCCAGGAGTAAACAAATACCTGACTGTTAATTACACGTGTGTGCCCGATGCTAAAGAAGTCGTGATCTGCGATTCCGAGAACTCCAGTTTGACCTGCCCAGCCTCCTGGAAGATTGGTGTGAACTCTGTATTCTTTGGACGGCAGTCAACTACCGTTTGTCCAGCGGAAAATGGACAGACCATGTGCACTGGAGCACCAGAGAGTCTTGGGATTGTTAAGAAGTCATGTGACGGGCTCACAAAGTGTGACGTGCATGCGTCTTACGACCAAGTGCAGAATGGCGCGGAAAACTGTCCCGGGGTTCAGAAGTATTTGATTATTAACTACAGCTGCAAACCGCATCCAAATATAGGTAAGATGGTGAAGAAATAGAGAAAAGCATTATAAAGCACCAACTGACATAAGAATAAATCTTGTGAAATTGACCTTTTTCAAGGACTGACTGCTCTCTTTCACTTACATAAAGAACACCGATAATAAGACTTTCCACTAACAGCGAACGGCCTCTACAGTCCCAATCGGTCGCAGTCTTGTTTTGTTCTTTCACATAACAAATCTTAGTAAGTATTTGTGTTGATCATGCACTTACAAAGGGAACAAATATTTCTCATTGTAACTTTCTACCTGAGGTATATTAAATGGAACTTCGAAGAATCTTGTTGGAGTTAAGCTTTATGGAGATAGGGAAGAAAGAATCGGGGAGGGGAGGGAGGGGTGGAGAGTCGGAGGACAGAAAGAAGGAAGAGTACAATGAGGGGCCGTGGCTGACCGGATCCCATTGAGTTGTGAACGTCTATCCTCTTAAAATCTCTTCATTCTGCTGAAAAGATAACTGCGATAACCACGACTGTGGACTTTCTGTTTAGGTTGTGAAGGTACTCTAAGCATTACGTTGTTTTTTTTCCATTCCTTAGGAACCGAGGACGATGCCATTCAGAACGACCAAGAACCAGCCCCCGTGAAGGCTCCTGCTCCCAACAAACCTAACCCAGGCCTTGCACCAAACGTTGTGAGTGATTTAAAGCAGTTGGACGGCGGACAACAGATTGAGAAGGTACCGGCCGAGGAGGGAAACAGTATTGTTGGAGAAAACTTGAACATTGGACGGCTAGGCATGGGAGGCTTGAAGGCCTTGGAGAAAATCAATAACCTTATCAAGGCTTCCGCCGAGACTCAAGATGGCGACGATCCTGGACCAGATAATAGTTTGACGGACGAGCAAGCACAGGCAATTGAGCGAATGATTATTGAAGGAATCCATCACATTAAGAAAAAACCTTCACCTCCGGCTGGTACACAGAGGGCCTCAATTCCACGTCAGAAGAACGATCAGAAACCTTTTCCCAAGTTACCTCAACCAGAGAAACGAAAGGGACTCCCGATTCCGTTCCCGCCAAAACTTGGAGCTCAAAGAAAGGATCCCAGAGCGGTCCCAACACCAGTTCAAGTGGGAGTTCCCAGGCTTCAGAAGGAAGGACCGAACGGGAAAGGGGGAACGTCAAGCAATCAGAATGAGGAAAAGAAAACGGTAAATGAGAGTAAAGGATCTTCATTGAACGGACCAGGCCAAGGTCCTGCCAAGATGAGGCCCATTCCTGTTCTTAAAAGTCAGCCTGCAGATGAAAGAAAGAAATCACAGCCTGGAAAACTTCGTGGTTTAGGTCTGGGGAATGCTGGTGCTGGAAATTCGCCTTAGCATGGGAAAACGTATGACAAGAAAAGACTTGAAATGCGAACATTGGAAACCAGACGAATTCTTGTACATTACTAGCGTTATTCGAACTGCTCAAAAAACTGTTTTTATGAAACATCTGCGCGCTCTTTCGCATTAAGCTTAGATTCCTCAAGGAATTCTTTTGACTTACCTAAAAATTCCCCGTACGAATCTTACCAGACTTTATATCGGTAGTGAAAGAAATCGATGTCTGGTTGCCATCGTTAATTTAAAAAAAAACACTAAAGATCAGATTCTGATCTAAAATAGTACTTCAGACTCTCAGTCTGTAAAATGTTTCAATATGTACCGCAATTTTCGTCAAACCAGCTGTGATCCTCGTTAATTATTAAATATATGTTACCGATTGCAGTTAAATGCCGCTGACACAGATATAGCGAGACTACATAATAGGTACTCAGTATTTAAAATCAGATGTCCGTAATGTGGGAGTTGACTTTCTCAACTAGTTCTCCAGGAAAAACAGTTAAGCAAAACCAGGAGAGAAGTTATCATTGTATTTTGTGTTAGCTGCGCCCCAGTACTCTATTGTACTTTCTACAAAGGGAAATGTCCAAAAGGTACGATTTCATTTTTTATTGACCTGGTTAGCGCTAAACATAAGGGTAAAGGACAAACAGCTCTTGATGATTTTAATAAAGAAAACAGTTAAAATATGATTTATCATTCCGGTGTGAATTATTCAATGGTCCTTGTGTCAAATTGCTCGCTGTTCTTTCAGGAGTAAAACTGACCAGCAATTGAGTCAGAATCTGTTAGGGCTAAGGAGGTTTAAATTTCACCAGACTCCACTTTCACCAGGTCTGATATTTCCCAGTGATTGTGCTTATCATGTGCTTTGTAGTTGCGTTGTGAGTACGTCATCCATTGGCTCAGCACCTCAAACACGCATGTCTTATTTCCGTCCGCCTCCGCTAGCCTCACTCAATTTCCTAAGCCATGGGCTATGGACCTGTAGACTCACAGTCATACCGTAAATTATTGCCCAAGAAACAGAGCTGAAAAATCGCAGCATCAACACGGCAGCACTAGTAGCAGTTGTGCTGTAATACCCAAGGCATTTTTTTTTTTTTTTTTTTTGCGGAAGCCGATAAACGCGGGTTTTCTAAAGTATTCAGGTCATCTTATTTTTAGAAAAGAAATTGAGAGTTGTAAAAGCAACAAAGCAGTCCTTTTGTTTTTCAGTTTTTGGAAACACACATTAAACTAGTTTTATGTGAGTTCTTTTCCGCTTAAATCCTTTTGTTTACTAAAACAGATTTTAAGTTGTTGTTTTTAATAGGCAACGTTGATATCTGCGTTATCCCTGTAAATTAATAAAAGGCTGTTTATTGTTTCAAGCTTTTCCCGCGAAATGTTCTTTTGAAGATACCGATGCGCCGCTTTTCACGTTATAGGACATAGCTCAAGGCATTGTTGCCTCGCTTTGGAACAATACTACTAAGTAAAAATTATGGACTCCTAACAAAACAAAGTAACATTGTTACTCTACAAACCGAGAAGGTTTTTAGACAATTGCACAGTGTTTTTCGATTGGCTATCATCATGCCATTCTGTAAGGCTTCGTGCTAAGTTCAGAGCAGAAAAACATATTGCGCAGCTTTCTGCGCATCCCTAGCCCTACTTGCAGGCTCAGGTAATAATGAGATTTGCAATGGTGGAAAGAGCGGTGGACTGTAATACGCGAGGATGCCGTTCAGTTGATGTATTTATACTTGGGTAGGGGTGAATTTTTTCGGCTTTTCACTGTTAAGAAAACGAGGCTCCCCCTGCCTGCTGAGAGGCTCTCTTGCTTATATATTCAGTGGTTCGCTTATGTGGATGCAATATGTAAAGTGGGTTTGTGGAAAAATGTCTTCGCACCCGGGCATTTCTTGTGTACCGCGGGGAAATAAAGGATTCGGAAACCTTTAGGTTAATACACCAGCTTTCCATTAGTGAAGTTAAAATGTTGCTGCTTATAACTGAAGCATATAATTCGCGCATGCCTAGTACGTTTATCCGCTCTGAACGCGCAAAGTAGCAAGGGAAGGCAGCTGAAGGGAACGTCTTCAACAGTTACCGTCAGATAATGTCTCCGGAGACGCCTGAGTAAACTTGACGTAAGAATTAAAAATTTAAATACAAAACACAAACTCAAACAATCTTCTTTTCTTGACAAATAAATATGACACTATACTGATCTGTCATTGAATTCTCACTGAAAAGTGTCCATACGGCTAAAAGCGTTTCTGAGGTTGATCAGGGGCGAGATTTCTTTCCCATTCATGAATATTTAAAACAAAAATTCGAGGTTTTGACTTTTTTCAGTTTGTGAGCAAGATGACCTCTAACTGGTGCCGAGGTCAGTAAAAATGTGTTGTCTACGGTTCACTTAAATCCACTGAAAATGGATGTCAGCATCTTAGAATAGGATTGGAATACAAGCCATATTTTGTGAAGAAAAGCCAAGCGAAGGATGTGAGAGAATGTTGTCTGGCGATGAAGGAACATTTGGTAATCGTTGTGTGGCTATTGTCTGCTGTGTTGATAAACAGGGCGGACTCAACTGGTACTCTTGATCAGTTATCAGGTAGGAGGTGTAAACACCTTGTTCTGTTGTGGTTAAAACTAGGTTACACTACAAGATAACAAAAACACAGCTGAATTTAAATTATCAGTCGCAAACAGAACATACCACATTTCGTACAACTGTTGCTTAGAATAAAGTTGAGCGTTTAAAAATAGCTTGCGAGTAAGCTCTCCACTCGAGGAGTAAATAGAGAGAAGGGCAAAGCAAAACATCAAACGTTTTCATCTAACACCCATGGTTGGATGGGCCATCTGAACGAACCGAAACTGTACGTCACGTAAATGATGGTTGAAAATATTCAATCGAGTTCAAACATTTCATCCAACATTTTTCAGGCGAACAGTAACGTTGAAAATTTGATTGTTTAGCTAAGACCATAGCATTTAGCTTTCTTGTCAATTTTGGACAGATAGTCATGACAGAAATTGTTCTTCTTTGACGGATTTCTGCACAAGTCACCAGTAGATGTTACCCCTGCCATATGCACATGGCAGGGGTATTTAAACGGCGAAACAGAGGATGCAACTAGATTCCGTAAATACGAATCGGCGGTGGAAATGGTCGAGTTCTTAGAGTATAGGAAACATCTTAGAGTCACAATTGTGCAAGCACTTTACTCGACGGGTTACGAAGACAGTGGTAAATGAAACAATTACATGTAACCGAAGAAGATTTTGATTGAAATTGTTAGTATTGTGGTGAATGACATTGCCATATGTAATTGTGGGCATCACGAAGAACTTTAAACACTACGATGAGGCTCAGTTTAAGAAGAGTTTATCTCATTTTCTCCCGCAGTTCGAACCGCAACACCAGGTGCAGTTGGGAGACCAAGAAGCGAAATTGACCTAGAAACAGGTTTGTTGAGTCAACTGACATAAATATGAAGTGTATATTAAAATGTTAGTAACAACTGCACCATGTATTTAACAACAGCAAATATCAATTGCTTATCTCAGATAAATCTGTCATCATTTGCGCTGGTGAGAACAAATCCCTGGAATGCTTTTCTCCTGGGTCAAGCATTGCTATCGAGGAAGCTTTCTGGGGCCGCTTGTCATCTGAAATCTGTCCCTCGGAGGACGGAGATCCGGTCACTAACTGCCTCAGCGATCCTACAACAACCCCTATTGTACGGAGTCTGTGCGATGATAAAGAATATTGCGAGATCCCCGCCCGGCACAACGTTTTACAGCCCCCAGGGGTTAAGCACTGCCCCGGTGTGAACAAATACTTGGCTGTCAAATATACGTGTATGCCGGAGAAACGTAAATTTGTGCTGTGTAATGGCGAGACAACAGAGCTTCAATGCGGTCAGGGATGGAAAATACACATTATGTCAACCTACTGGGGTCGGGATTCACCGTCCACCTGTCCTACACCCCTTGGGAAGTTTTTCACCTGTGCAAACTCAGTAGACAGTGTGTTAGCTTTGAGGGAGAGGTGTGCTGGAAGAGAAAGCTGTATTGTCACTGCAGATGATACGCATCTTACTAAAGGAGGAAGTCATTGCCCAGGAATTGATAAGTATGCTCTTATCAGTTACAGATGCCAGCCTCCCAAAGATGCCACAAGTGAGTAAATTAAACAGAAGTTAATTACAACTAGGCAAACAAGTGGGGTGGATAACATGGTTCTCAGTCATGCATCTCCACCCAAAATCCCCTTTTTCCTTTGAGCCTCCCCCCCCCAGATCTGCTATAGTGGACCGATTCAAATATGACTGATATGACAAAAATAAGCGCACTATTCAAAGGAAGCGCTTGCTTTCATATAAAGTTATAGCAAATGTTGTATACGTAGAGGAGGATCCGATGATGTGTCACGAAAAATATTCACGTTGAATTTCACCCAAAAAAAAAATACCAGGCCTACTCTGGGGCCTTAAGTCGCCGTAACTTCAGGCGACTTTGGGCGATTTAAGGCGACCTTAAGCGACTTAAGCAAAATTGGCAGAAAAAAAAAATAGCGATTTAAGGCGATTTGAGAAGATTTAAAGCCCCAGAGTAGGCCTAATACCACTTAACGGCTTATGAAAATACTCTTTCAGACGCTCAAGTGAGTTAAGATTTGTTTAACCTTTTTTAATTCCCTTACATTTCAAAGGTTCGTTCGCGGACAGTGGAAAGATGCTCCTTGATTTACCACAACAAGACCCAGGAAACTTACATCACTCCTCACTGGACCTGACCAAGATCCCTACTCCTCAGCAAGCAGTGGGTGAGCTGAACCTGAGCATGCTACTTCCGGTTCCTCAGTACCATCGTGCAGATAAGCTGAAACCAATTATCGATTTTCTTGGAGAAGAAAGTGGAGGGAAGAATCAGACATCGCTTGGTGGAGAAAATCTTCCTGTTCCTAAAGATTCCAATCCGGTCATGTCAAACAAAAAAGACAGCTCCACCCCAGCACTTCAAGATGGAATTAAACCTTCTAGACTCGCAGTGCAAAATGGTATATCATCATTAACATCATCGTCACAAAGCACCCAGGCAAATGTAGCTTCCACGCTGGGTTTGCCAAGAGGAAATGACGGTGAAATCCAAGCCGTCAACCATGATGTTACTGTGAATTTACCACCATCCAAAACGGTTGCTTTACAAACACCCTCCCAGTCGGCAGCAAATCCAATGAAACAACCGCCAGCTTCTACTGTAATAGAGCCACTTCAGAGTGTTACAGAAGGTCTAGTAAAGAGCTTTTTGACAAGTAAATTTGGCCAGGCACTTGGTAAAGGTCTTCTCGACTTTGACAAAAATGGAGACTCTTCGTACAAAAACATATTGGCGCAACATTTTGGTTCAAGTGTCAAAACAACCGCATCACCAACTAATAAAACTCCCCCCAACCAAGATTTGATTGCCAACCTAGTTTCAGGACTAACACAACGACCCTCAGAACATGATTCAACAGCCAACCCAGTCTCAAACAAAAACAATGAGAAGATCTTCCAGCCTGTCAAACAAGACTTTGGAGCAACTGACAACTTGTCCAGCCCAACTGTTTCTATAGGTAATAAAGTGTTTTCACTCACTGATTTCGCGAATTCTTTGCTTAACGAAAACCAAGATCCAAACGAATCAAAAAGCGTAAATACAGATATTGAATGGAAAAAAGGCAGCAGGAGACATCAAGGTAAGCAGCGAAACAAGGACAAAATCAGAAAACTGGATGAAAAGATTGCCACCTTGGAAACTTTAAGTGATGCTTTAGATGCTTTAACTACGAAGCTGTCTCCAGATGAAAACTCAGAAGACCAGAATCAGAAAGAACCTTCGTTCAGTTCCGACAGACCAACTATCCAGGAGCCGCGGCATAAAAAGCACCATACACATCATCACAAGAACGATCAGTTTTCTGAAGATTTGGACATGCTGGGTGCTCTTCTCGCTAGGGGTCCAACCTCCGCTCGTGCGGAAAAGAAAAAGCCTTTTGTCTCTAAAGATGATAAGGACTCTAACTACATTATGGGTATAAAAGGGAAAAAAGCCTTGAGCTCAGCAGACTTACAAGTATTGCAAAACAAAATCAATCAAGCTATAGAAATGGCGGAAGCTGAGGGACGGCAGCATGATCCTACCAAGCAATCCAAGCCAACATACACCCTCCTTTCGGCGGGGAAAGTAGGTGAAGACGTCGTAGCACAAACAAGGGAAGAAGTGGCAACAATTCACCCCAATCAAGCAGCTTCGAAAAGGATGCCTCCGTCCAAGAACGGCGAACTACAGAGCTTGCAAGATATTCTCACAGGACTGATTAACAACGCCATGCGAAAGGGCACGTTAAACCAGTTAGTCCAAAGATGGAATCGTAATGGAAGTCCATTTGCAGACATAGCGAAAAACATTTCACTATATTTACAAGGCAGTAAGAAATTAAAGACGCAAGTTTCGACACTAGAAAGCAAACAAACGTTTCCCACTCAAGCTACGACCAAAACAGGGATAGACGCAACAGCTCAAACTAATGTGACCGCTCAAATGGCTGAAGGCCTTGCGGGTTTGACAGCGGAATTTAATAATACGCTGTTTACCAAGGCTGTAAATAACATTCTGGGCGCGCTTTCAAAGCGCCAAGGATTACACAAAAGCAATTCCACGAACCGTTCATCATTCGTCACAACAAATACTTTAACCAACTTCAAAGGAGTACTTTTGGGAGGGCGCATCAACAAGCTAAAGCATATACCTCAAACAGCGGAATTGGAAAGTAAACTTATGGCTGAGGTTTGGAAAGGACACGGAAATAAAACGTTTCTGAAGAACTCTTCTAAACTTGCAAACTTGACGGTAGGAAATAACGCAGAATATAAAAGTGATAACAAGATAGACATGCTGCGTGATAATCACACACTGCCGATACCTCTCAGTAGTGGTCATGGAAAAGAAAAGCTCACGTACTCCACTTACGAAACCAAAAATGTGTCAAAAACAGTACGAAATGACACGTTGATGGATTTCATGAAAAGTATGGAAGAACCTAAGGGTCCCGAACATCTTACAGAAAATAATAAATCTAGGAATGATGTAGGCGATAAATACTCACAAGTGAAACCTCACATCAATGATCTGATGAGCGTAATCGTATCAAGCCTGTTAAATTTAAACGATATCGAGCAGGACAGCCTTCCAAAAGGCAAGCCAAAAATAACGTATGAAGAAAGCGGAAATGAAAAACTTCTACATGGACTTCCAAACGACCATAAGACGAGTGACTTTTCTAGAGATGATGCGGTATTAGAAGCTCCAACCGATCATGCCGTTGAAACTAACAGCAGTAATAAACGTCCCCAAGAACAGCATAACGCTACACAGTCATCTACTAATGTTATTTTGCTACGAAATAATACCAAAGACTACATCCAAAATGAAAAACCCAAAGACCCAGATGAACAAAGCCAAAAACTTGACTTAGGTGACCAGACAGTGACTCTTACGTTAGAGACCGTGGATGAGGCCCCTACTCCCGCACCACAAACCAACCAAGGGTCCAAAACACTGACCGGCTTACGAAATAATAAGGTTCCCCATAACTTAAACGTTCAATCAGCGTTAACGATGGGTAAAATCAACGCGACGGATTCTAGGAAGATGGCGCAGTCATTCACCCAAACTCAAATACAAGAGGTGCCAACAACGTTTTCTGACTTTGCAACCGAGAAAAAGGAGCCGACGGAGATTGCGCTACCGTCTGATGGCGATGGCAAATTAACTTCCATTTCCCCTTCTCCTGAAGTTAATCCTAAAATTGGAGGCGATTTCCAGGCAAAGTCAAAGCCAGAACTGCCTTTGGGACTGCAGATGAATGCAATTGGAAGAATAGCGGAAACAGATGATAAGACATCTCCCACACCCGCTGATCTGTCTGCTGCTTTGACCAACCCTTCAGGTTTTTCTTCTCTGCTGGCTTCCAAAAATGGAGAGACAAAATCTTTTGAAGATAAAATTCTACCAATGGCGTCAGATTTAACCTCTTTAACCGATGCTAAGAGCGGAGAAACGGAGAGCATTGTATCCAAAGCTTCACCCGTCACTTTACAAAATCCTGCCACGATTAAGAAACCAAGTAACATTGCAATCACTCCGGAAAAAGAATCAAGGCCAACGGCGTCTGAAGTACGAGAAATAGCCACCTCCATAAAAGCCTTGTTGAAAATTCTAAACAGCTATTCAAAGAAGCTAAGAATTGAAGACCAGGCAGATGACTCGACGGGTGGAATGCTTCCAACCCGAAGCCGCACTGCAAATCGAGTGAGCATTAATGAGGGGGAGAACACGAGCAAAGAAGACTCGGTAAAGCCTACGAACAGAGGGCTTCCCGCAGCAAGATACAACAATAATGTGTATGCTAACTTTCCTCAGTCAGCTATAACGATACCGAAGTACGTTGACAGTGGTGTCTTTGAAAACATCCGGGAACAGCCCAGTGTAGAAGAAAATAGTTATGACTGGAACATCGCATCAGTGCGCGCGCATCCGCAAATGCCATTTGATATCAACCCAACAAAGACTAGCATAGAACCTCAACTTGGTGCTGATCAGTGGAGGCCCGGGAACGAAATGGGGCGCGTAACAGACGAGCTTAAAGATTTGAATTTACCTTCGATTGAAGATGATCCGACGGTTCGCGCCGTCCAAAACATAGTGGCTGAAGAAAATTCCTTTTTGAACGAAAAACGAAAAGCAATTCAAAAGCACAAACAGCAGGATTCAAGAGTGAAAAGTCAACTGCCAGGAAGACCCAGAGTTGTTGGTCGAAATGTCATACCAAAGCACAAAGGACATCATCGAAACCAATCTCGTATGGAACATAAAAAGAGGAAAATGAAAGTCGGTAATTTCCGAAATAAAAGTAACGATGAAAAGAAACAGAACGTGAGAGGTAGAGACGTAATCCCACGAATAAACAACGACAAACTTTCCCGCCAAAATGCGTCAGCCTTTGGTAAGAGAAAACTTGCCATAATAGGAAATACAACTCACCATGGCAGCAAACTTTCTTCCAGTCCGCCAAGGATGATGGGAAACAGCAGCAAAAAGACTTCGTTAGTGAGCAGTAGAGACAAAGTAGCTGGCGGAAATGGAAATCGAAAGACATCCAATGATTCTGTGCCTGCAACAAATAATAAGAAAACGACTTTTAAAACCAAACACAACTTAAAGGGAAGTCTTCCGACTGTTCATCCAAATGCAACTTCAATGGGAGCGGTCAACGCGCTGAAAATTAATGTCCAGCGAAACCCAGAAGCAAAACAATCCAGGGGAGAGATACTTCCTCACAGATTAAACAACACTCAAGTTACTGGTGTCAAGAGGAAATCAGGAAAAACGTATGCCACGCCCAAAGAAATTGTCACAAACAATGGAACTTTATCAAAACCTGAACATGTTAAAGCATTTAAAGCTAAAAACAGAACCAGCTAAAACAGACAGTTGAGGTGTCGTTTCACACTTCACATACAATTGTGTAAACCAAACAAAACCACGTTGCAATCCACCGTAGGAAAAAAGATGGCGACTGGTACATTTACCCATAACTCTCAGCGCACGAAAACTTTAACAACGCTCATAGAAACGTACAGAAAAGTTCTGAAATCTTCAAACCTAGCATACACAATGCTGTTAGCACAGAGACAAATATTCCAAAAATAAGGTTTTCCTTGTACTTTCTGGGCTGTGTAAGGTTCGCATGGTATTGGGGTAAAATGTACAGCCGCCATCTTTTTTCCTACGGAGAATTATTTAAGACCTTTGAAAGTTAACATCAAAGAATTAAATTGCTTTCGCAGTCGGCATTTAAGTCTCAAACAAATAGCGGTAACAACACATTTGTCAGTATCTAAATTAAACGGTGTCAGCCGAATTAATTCTTTGATGCAAGAGTTTTTGTGTGTCCACTTAATGGACTTTTCGCTTCAAATGTAACGTCTTTCTTGAAGACATCGTAGGAAATGATGCTGAACTGTCGTTTTAACTTTAAATATGTTGATCACGGTCATAGAGAGGCAATTTAATAAAAATGTATACGAAACTTAACGTTCAGAAGTGCTCAGAAAGGGGGTTTCGGAAGTAATGATGGGACCTTTGTCCACTTAAAGGGAGGGGTTGTAGGGACGAAGCGAAGGTACGGAGTGGCATCTCTTGTTAGACGATTAAGGCGGGGTACACCTAAAAATTCTGTAACGATCGAATTAAGCTGAAATTTTCAAGATTTGTTGTTCTAAGTAAGTTTTGTGTATTAAGCATAGAACTGTTCTATCCAGTGCATTTTGTCGAAGTTATGCATTGAATCGTGTGCTGGTCTATGCTGAATTTTCTGTATTAGATATAACTGGTCACCATTTCATGTGTTTTAACTTTTCAAAAATCTGTATAGCTGGTTTTCACATGACGTCACCAAAATTCGAACTATAAAACTGTTGAT